GCTAGGGCAGTGGTGTTGAGCCTGTGGCATGCGGGCCACCGTGGGCTGCTTGTATGATTGAAAGCGCTCAGTTCACAGTCACTACTCTAGGGTTTCCTATGTGCGGATTTTGTTTTTCAGCATGTGATTTTAAGTTAGTACAGTCTGTCTTCACATGACGTTCCACATCACATATAACATAAAACCCTTACCATAGTTTCTACTTCCATTCCCTTCTGTTCTGCTTACCTACTACCCTGTAATAACCTATCTCCAAAATTTTGTGGTTCCAGGCAAGCGCCATTTGTTATAACCTGTCAGTGTTGTAGTGTAGGGACTTGGGCTCAGACCCCATGCCCTGCTTGTTTCTCTTCCCTGCGCTTGTTCCATATGTATTTGTTCATCTCTGCTGGAGAGCTCCGGAAGGGTGGCAGCCTTCACATCTGCAAATTGAATTCCCCTGGCGCTACACTTTTAATAAGTTGCTTCCAAAGCCATCAAGCAAAGACTCAGTGTGTAGCCAGCCAAGGACCGAGGTGGAAAAAGAGGCTGCGACTAGCTGGGTACAAGAAGCAAGGTGGAACAAACCTGGGAAGGGGTCCCGCGCTGCTTCCTGCCTCTCCTCAGAAATGGCCCTGGGCAGCCAGGGAGCAGCCAGACATCAGAGCCTCCACTGCCCCCAGTACAGAAGTCATGGCCCAGCCGCCATCACTCCAGGGCAGGGCACTGGGGTGGTTTGTCCAGGCTTTGTGTTTGGCTTCGTCCCAAGGACCTGAGCTGTGCATGCGTGGTGAGGGTTTCGTGGTGGTCACGTGAGAAGCAGCCGCTCCTCGGGCTCCCTGAACATCTTTCTGGTCTTCAGTTGGTAGGCACATGCACTCCCTCTCTGAGGACCGGTGGACAAAGACCAAGGAAGCCCTGCCCGTATCAGAAAGTACACATCTAAACCAGGCATGGTGTGCACGCCTGCAATCCTGCACCCTGGAGGCTGAGGCAGGTCCGAGGTCTGCCTTGGAAACTTAGCAAGACACTGTTTTTTTGGTGTTGTTTGTTTTTTAAATGTATTTGGTTGTTATAGGGTCTCACTATGCAGCTTGGACTCTTAGTGATCCTCCTGTTTTCAACCTCCCCAGTGCTGGAATTACAGGCATGCACCGCCATGCCCAGTCTTGACACTGTCTTGAAGTTAAAAAATAATAATAATTGAAAGGCAGGCAATATAGCTTAGTATGAAGACGCTGGCTTCCGTCCCTAACATTAGAAGAAGAAAACAAACATTTATTTTTCTTGCTGCGTTGGGTGACAAAGTTGCCCTGGATGATCTCTTAGGGGCCTTTCTGCCCAGATCTTCTGAGGTCCTGTCCCGTGTTCTTAGCATTTCAGAGTGGCTGTGCTGATGGGTAGCAGTTCTTGCGGATGCCTGGGGGTGACAAACAGCTGACTCGGGTTTCCAGTCCCACAGGCACCCATCAGCTCCTCTGTGCAGGGCACCCTTGTGCCTGCAGGGTTGTGGCTTTCCTAACGCCTCTGTTTGATTCCTAGATTCCTCATCTAACCACACCAGGCAAGTGACTGGTGAGGGCCGCTGGAGTTGTGAGTTGCTGCTGGAAAGAGCGCCCAGTGTGCGGAGCCCGCCGTGGCCGTGGCCGTGGCCGTCCCTGACCCCTGGGCTGACCTGTGTGGTCCCACGCACTATTTCTGTTTTGTGTTTCACACATGGCAAGAAGGATAGCTACTGACAGGTAGAAAACTGCTACTTCTGAAAAGGCAGTTTCTTGTGTTTTGGGGAAGAATTAGTCCTGGCATCTGTCCCAGTCTCAGCCCCCCTTCTGGCTGCTCGCGTCCCGGTAAATACAAATAGAGGTTGCTTTGTGTGCTCTCCAGGCCTCTCTGTTTTGAAGACAGAATTGTGTTCCTAATGTTTTTGTTGTAAATAAACATTCCCTTGTCCTGCAAGCTCCAGCGGGGTGATCTGTGAGAATTTGGCTAAACGTGTGTGAAGTCCACAAGTGAGCACAGCAGGGTGGGGAGGAGACCGCAGCACGTCACCTAATGACACAGCATGGTGTGCCGGGTCTGGGGTTCCTGCGTCCCGCTCCCACCTGTGGGGAACTGCTAAAAGGCAAGTTAGTTGGAACCTCAAAGCCACCTTAACCCCCCATCCCTGAGCACTGGGGGCCCCTGCCCAACTCAGGGCTGGGGCCCAGCCCCCCAGCAAGACCCTGGTTCTTACCCTGCTGTTACCCTGTGTGCCGTGCTGTTGCCTGGGGCTGGGGCTGAGAGACCCCTGTCCCCTCACTGTCACCCCAGCAGTTTATGGCCAGGTCTTCCCTGCCAGCCCCACCTACTGCCCTCAGCCCTTGGCTCTCCCATCTCCACTTGCTGCTTGCTGCCTCTCCACTGACCTGCTCGGGCATTGGATCCAGCAGACATTTCATTGATCTGACTGGACTTGACTTTGCTCCTCTGAATCAGTCTCCCTCCCAAAGACATGACCTTCCCAAGTGTCCAGGTGCCACACCCTGGATTTCCTTGATCCTGTTAGGATTCTGGCTTTCCTCTTCTCATTGCTCCAGGGCCCATCTCGAGGCCTGGGCTGAGGACCCATCCAGCCCAGGGCCTGCTGGAGGGCAGTGTGCACCCGGACGGGGGAGGGGAGGAGGGCACCCACGTTTTGCTACCTTGGGCTTTCGCCTCTGCCTGGAGGAGGGGCTGGGTGCTGGCTGGCTACTCCTGTCCCCTCCGTTCAGCTACCTGCTGGAGTCACAGCCCCAGGACTGGATTTTTCAAGGCTCTGAGGCCATGTGTAGGTGGTGAAGGCCTGTAATCCTAGCACTACGAGATTCTGTCACAAAATAAAAATATGAAAAGGGGCTGAGCATAAAGCTCAGTGTGAAGGCCCAGGGTTCAATCCTCAGTACAGGAGAAAACTCAGCCTGAGAACCTTGCTGATTACTGATGATTCCCAGCAGACCTCTCAGCCACAGCCAGTCACAGCCCGGCTTGCCCTGCCATCAGGTGGCCCTCAGTCTCTGCACTGCCCAGTCTGGTCATCCACCCACTGTCCATTGCTGGCCTCCATTGATCATGAAGCCCAAATAGCCTTTTGAAAGGTCAGTGCGGTCGTCCAAGCGGCAGTGTGGCTGTCTTCCCACCAGGCCTTCACCAACCTCCATGTCTGTCTTGATAAGTTGTCAGGCCGGAATCCATCTCCTGGCTCAGTAGTCATCCTGCCTTGGAGAGCTCTCTGGCAGCACAGACCTGTAAATTCAGTACTCGAGAGCCTGAAGCAGGATCACTGCACCCAGGACAACTTAGTGATTTATCAAGACCCAGGCTCAAAATACTAAAAAAGGGCTGGGGATGTTATCTGCAAGTGCAGGACCTGTACCAATCCCCACTACCAACAGAAAGGCTGGGCATGTGGCTCAGTGGTAGAGCACTTGCCTAGCATGCACTGGACCCTGGGTTCTGTCCTTGGAAAAACGCCAGGCTCATGTGTAGCTGTGGAGGACAGAGGAGGGCGGGCACACCTAGAGGCCTGTGTGAGTGCTTCGACAGAGCCCAGCACCGCAGCACCCCAGCATGCAGGACAGCGAAGGCTGGAGGGACTTGTGCGCCTCCCACAGAGCCTGCTGCTGTCTTCCCTTGAGGATCTGTGTGCTGTCCCCTAGGGACAGAGGCAAAAGGACCCCGCTGACTTCTGCTGAGAAAATCAGGCAATAGGTGGCGACAAAACCCACTTCATGCTTTCTAGACAAGCCTGGTGCCCCTAGGGACACATTAACACCTACCTCGGCCACAGTGGGCACTCCAGCCACTCCACCAGCTGGTCCTCATTGGGAAAGGTGTGGCAGGGAGAAGATCTGAAGGGCATTACCTTACAGAGGCTGAGAGGTGTGGGAGACACAGCAGGCAGTTGAGGGGGACGCTATCGACTGGAATCCAGACTCATTCCCCAGCCGGAGACTGTTTCCTCAGCTCCAGAGCTGGGCTGGCTGCGCAGGAGAGGCCAGCTCTTTCCTGGCACCTGTGCTCGCTGGCCTCTTGGGAGCGCACCTGACCACTGTGAAGATGACCCAGGCACAGGCAGGGCAGGCAGGCAGTACAGGAGTCGCTGAGCTGACAGCCTGTGTTCTCAGGCCCCTGAGCGTGTGTGGTGCACACACACATTTTTTACCTAGAGGCAAAAATGCCAGAAAGAGACAAAAATAGCAGATCTATGACCATATAAGATAAATATTGTAATAAGCTGAGAAACGTTTTATTTTTCTTATAAATGGGATGCTCTTAATTCGTAACCATTAAGACTAAGACTGAATCCAGGTGGAATGTGGAAGCAGTTACCTGTGAGACCGGTGCTCTGGCAGCAGGAGGCAGGAGAATCCTAAGCGGAAGCCCAGCCAGAGCAGGCTAGTGACTTAGATCATGTCTCGTGGGGTGGGGGTGGGCTCGTTGCAAAGGTCCTGGGCTCAGTCCCCAGTACCAGGGGCAGGGAAGGGAGAAGGGGATGAAGGGGAAGAGGAGAAGCAGTGCAGCTGGTGGCCTCTCCTGCCTCCCTGCTCGCCCCGTTCCCAGCGGCTCCCACTGGGCTCAGCATTGGCCACGGCAAGAGAGGTCAGACCCAGGGATTCCACCATGCAAAGAGCAGGCACTCAGGATGACAGAGGATGACAGAGGCTGCCGTCTGGTGCAGTACCCAGGTCCAGAAGAGAGGCAGCCCCTCCTGCAGGCCCCACCCGAGTCCCTGGGGACCCTCACATGCTTACAGGTGCAGGTAGGCCTTGTGCTCAGTGCAGGGTTCAGTCTCCAAGCTCTTCACACTCACCTTGGTTACAGGCAGGTGCTACTGCCTTTGTCTCCCCCACCACACTGAGAATGCAAAACAGGTGTCTGGGACTGACTGCTGTATTCATTAGTCCACTGTTCTGGGAAGTTTCTGTGCGAAAGACCCTTGATAACGAAGGAAAAAATTTAGATTAAGGAGGTTGACAAAGATCTCAGAGGGAGCTCCAAGGCCAGGCAGGCCAGAGACCACATCCTGCCAAGATCCAGGGGTCCCTGAGGTGTGCCTGCCCACACCCTTGGGTCCCCAGCAAGTCTGCAGGGTACAGTCTGGGGGACAGTTTCCAGCTGGGAAGTGCCCAGAGAGCATGTGGCAGGACATCCAGCTCTGTGACCTTTCATGCCTGTGACACAGGGCCACCTCTCCCCATGGTGGCCTCAAATGTCTGACCCAGTGACATCTTCAGGCATATCCTGAACTCTTAGGCCACACACAGTGGGGAGCCCTCTGCAGCCACCACAAGCAGTGAGCTGCCTGGGATATAGAGAGAGCCTGAAATATACTGGGAGTCAGGGTCAGAAACAATCAGCTGGCTGCCAGAGCCAAAGCCCAGATAGGACCTTTCTAGGGTCTCGACCAATGGGGCCCCCAGCCCAAGGTGCCCAGGCTGGGGACCTTGCAGCAGGCACCCCCTCCCTGCAACCCACGACCCCAGGCTGACCCACAAAGGGCCCGGGGTACCTGGAGGGGGAGGCCATGCCCGCCCAAGCCCTGGGCCCAGCATCAACAGCACAGTGTTCCGAAGCCCACAAAGGGCTCACTCAGGCCCTGCAGAGGAGATGCGAAAGCACCAAGGTGCGTTTCCAACCTCAGAATTACTCAGCAGCCCTTTCGTGCGTCACGGGCACCAGCAGCGGCATGGGGCACACCCTCTGATTCCATGAGGTTGCTCTGAACTTCGCCCTGGATTCCCAAGTATGCCCCTTCCAGACACCCCCATGCTTCTGGCCAGCTAGGGGCGGGACCTGCTCCTCCTCAGGGCAAAACCAGAGCCATTACGCCCACCAACACCCCTTCCTCTCGTCCCTACTTCTGTGTCCTTGCCCACTGCCTCTCCCGGGTCCCCAGGGTTGGAAGTGTTGCCCCTTCTTTCCTTCCTCTGCAGGTTGGATGCCTTGGGCAATCTCTTCCACTTCCAGGAGAGTGAGCCAGGTCTTTGGGATACCTTCATAGATTTCATGCTTCCTCCTTTTAAAAAATAGGATATAATCCACATACCATGAATTTCACTGTTTTGAGTTATATAATTCAAGCTAAGTGTGGTGGAGCAGGCCTGTAATCCTAGCACTCCGGGAGGCTGAGGTAGGATTGCAGTGCAGACTGGGAAACTTAACTTAGCAAAACCCTGTCTCAAAATGTAAAAGGTGCTGAGATGTAGCTCATCACAGAGACCCTGGA